AAATAAAAAATAGAGGATATTTAATGGTGTTCTCAGTAATAACAAATAAATTTCACTCGTGTGGCTAAAATTTTGATATTTTCACGAGTGAAAAATATCAAAATATTAGCCACACGAGTGAAATTTATTTGTTATTACTGAAGACACTATTGAATTTTCTATTTATTACATTCTTAAAGCATTAAACATGGAAAGTGTAATGCAGTAAAAAAGGGCGGGAATCAGAAGTGTAATAATTATAATTAGCGCCATATTCTAATGAAGTCCCGTTTGACAACAAAGCTATGCGCCATTTTGAATGGGATACTCAATGCAATTCCGATGTTTTCTGCTATTTTCTGTTATGATTGCTTATTCAAATGTTATAAACTGTATATATTTGTAAATACTTAAGTTTTGGAACCAAACCGGACTACGGACGCAGGGCAATTTGTATAACCCACAGAGATGCAACTTGGGAGAAAATTGATTACTGGTCACAAATAAGCATATGTACAGATTTGAATTGCATGTACCGGTATATGTGTGCAATATCTAATAATTCAAGAATTGATTTTTTAACAATTATATTGCAGATTTAGAATTAATATGCATGGAAAACTAAGGATCTTATTTTACTTGTATATATATCAGAATATATAAAAATTGAAACAAATCTGAAAGAAAAAGTTGGTTGTGCTATAAATATTTCTATAGTGTAGTGGTCATCACGCTTGCCACTCTGTGGTGGGAGATCCAGGTTCAAATCCTGATGGAAATCATAGCACAACTTGAAATTCAGATACATGCACATAAATAAACATAAACAGTTAATTATGTACCACTACTCAAAACATTTCCTTTAACTTGATGTCTTTGTTATAAATATGTATTCTTGTTAATTTGTTCTTTACTGCATTCATACAATGACTTTGGACGTTCTAACATCTTGGTAGGTAGTGTTAGATATATGATTTGCGAACTAGATGATGGTGGGCTATTCAAATGGCCCTTCGTCTGTGGTCCATCATCCATTAGTCCTTCAACAATTCTTGTTAGCACTCTTCCTCAGAAAGAACTGGACGTATCTCCATGGTCCATTGTCGTGCATATCTAATTTTGGGACTGATCAGAAGAACCAAGATGGCCGATAAGCGGCCATCTTGTATTTTGATGGTTTAATGCTATTTCTCAGAAAATGCTGTAGGTATCTTTCTCAAATTTACCATTAAGGTTCCCCATGGTCCCTTGTTATGCATATCAAATTTTGGGCCTGATCATGATAGGCAGCCTTCCTGAATTTTAAGTTTGTGATGATGCCTTTTTATGAATATCAAATTTTGGAACTGATCAGAGGTCCTAGTTATGCATATCAAATGTTGAATTGGTCCCCTTGGTAAAAATACCCTTGCCCTAATGAGGTTTCATCCGTCAATGTTTTTATCAAGTTTTTATCATTTTGCATATAGCTTTGCAATTCTCATACAATAAAATTTGTCATAGTGGCAAATAACATATAACATTACAAGGTTTAAGTTAATGTACAAGATCTCTATTTAGGATTTCCAACATTGAACTAGGGAATAGTACCTGTAAGGAAAATAAAGAGCAAAGAAGATAAAAGGTCAACTTTTGTAGATCTAATAAAGATTGCCAAGGGCATCATGCTTTAGGTACAAAACATGTTGACAAAATAATTATTTTTACCTACACTAAAATGTAATTGTTTATCATTTGGTTATCTTACACAGAACTATATTCATGGCCCCTCCCAGGGGTTATACAGGGCTGAGATAATATACAATTTCTTGTTTAGAGTACATGAAAGCTCAACTCAACACAAATAATACATTTAATGGTAATTGAGCCATCATGAGTTGTAGGTTTTTGGGGCACCTCCCTTTGAGTATGGATACAAAATTTAAAGGTATGCAGGGCGATAACAGATAAAGAAGATGGATATAATCGCAACATGTAATACTCAAACATCACCAGTAATGTGGGTCTCTAAGTTTGTAGTTCAAAACTTCCTTCATAATTCTCACTAGTTGAGTCAGTAGGATGATTTAAGTATTTTACCAGGGCAACATATATAATATATGGATATGAGTAATGTACCTTTGTACTAACATTGATAAGGTATAACACAGAAGTCATTAAGCATTTTTATTAATGTTTTTAACACCTATTTGTATCAAATAGTGTTCATATCCATGCAACAAATTCATTGACTACGTAAATAAATATATCTTGAACTTCATACTTAATACATGTATTTAACTTAACATACATTATAACCAACTGGTTAGTATATTGCATTTTATTTTTTAGAAAAACAAAAACCTTACACAGAACTAAATTCATGTTGTCAACACAAAAATGTACGTTATAATGATTTAGATAGATTTATCTGTCACTATCTGTACACCAGGCCCTAGTTAAATTTAACCAGCAGTTAGTGAAAATTCAAATGGTTACCAAACAATCAAGGTTTTTAAAGCAAAATGAATCCTCAAAGACATCGACCTGATCTGACAAAACAAATACTTAGTAGTGAAATGATATGAGGTTAATGATTTGGTTGAATCTTTCCTTAACCTCTGGTCAAACCTAACCAAGCTTTGTGCCTTAACCTCTGGTCAAAACTAACCAAGCTTCATGCCTCAACTCTTGGTCAAATCTAACCAAGCTTTGTGCCTTAACCTCTGGTCAAAACTAACCAAGCTTTGTGCAGAATTCCACAGAACTTCAGAAGGTCATATTCCTGGTTGGCTATCCCATCACATTATCAGTTTTTAATTTTGTAAATATGTGGCTAACTTCAAATATTTAAACTAAATGGGCATGGTTATAAGTAGACATATACAAGTGAGAGGCAGACTAATGTTACCACAAGTTGTAGAGGAATGTTAGCTTTAACCATTCCAAACAAAAAGGGTCAATATTGAAAACAAGTTGAACAGTTTTTCAAGGAAAAAGAGCTAAGCTCTAGAATAATTGGCCAAAATGGAGGATACCACATCAAAACAATAATATTTGAAAAAGAAAAACACAGGCAATTCTTACCTAGGCTACTGAAAAGTGTGTCATATGTAAGTTATCATATGCATAACCTCTTTATTTCAGAAAAACTAAATAAAAAAGAACCTATGAACTTAAGGTTTTTTTCATCATTAGATTTACCTAAAATTAATATAATTTATTTTTAGAATATAATTATATCATTCTTTATGTGTTAAAATACAGATAGCGGGTACTCAAATAAAAAATAAATCAAATCTTTAAATATAATAGATAAACTTCATATTAACAAAATGATCGGCAAATCATTAGGGTTATATTTATATCCCCAGCTCACTCTCAATCTAATTATTTAATCCATTACAATGTTTGTTCCTAATATTTTTATATGTACACAACAGAGCACATATACTATACTGCACACATATACCCTCACAAAAATACACAATCACATACACCAAGCTACACATATACTATACTGCACACATATACCCTCACAAAAATACACAATCACATACACCAAGCTACACATATACTATACTGCACACATATACCCTCACAAAAATACACAATCACATACACCAAACTACACATATACTATACTGCACACATATACCCTCACAAAAATACACAATCACATACACCAAACTACACATATACTATACTGCACACATATACCCTCACAAAAATACACAATCACATACACCAAACTACACATATACTATACTGCACACATATACCCTCACAAAAATACACAATCACATACACCAAACTACACATATACTATACTGCACACATATACCCTCACAAAAATACACAATCACATACACCAAACTACACATATACTATACTGCACACATATACCCTCACAAAAATACACAATCACATACACCAAACTACACATATACTATACTGCACACATATACCCTCACAAAAATACACAATCACATACACCAAACTACACATATACTATACTGCACACATATACCCTCACAAAAATACACAATCACATACACCAAACTACACATATACTATACTGCACACATATACCCTCACAAAAATACACTATCACATACACCAAACTACACATATTTATAAATTATCACCCTTGTGTTTTAGGGGTTTGCCTGAAAACACTATTCTTATTGTGAGTTCTTGGATAAAAGCATGAGGCCACCATAGGTTAAGGTACACTGAAGATTTTATACACAAGTGAGTGATGAAAATCATAGGAATTCCAATTCATATATTTGATGCTTCAAAAAAAAACCTCAGTATTTCTCATTCATGGCACATTATCTATTTGTAACACCATTTTGTTTGGGCTAAACAAAATGAACTGTCAAAATAATCACATATTTGTCAGAATTGTATTCCAACATGCTTTCAAATATAAAAGTTGACAAAAGAAGATGTGTTGGTAAAGGAAAACATTGTAGTTGATGGACCGATTTCAGTTTTTTTAAATCAAACAAAACAATTTGGCGGATTATAATCCCCCACCAAACGTAAATGATGATAAGTTTGTGCAGGAACTTATTCTATATATGAATGTTTGACAGACCCACCATATTCAAAAAGTAATAGTGTCAGTGCTACTGTTGCTAATTAATCTGGTGGATGTTTACTGGTTAGTGGTACCGTTTTATTGTTAATCTGGTGGATGTTTACTGGTTAGTGGTACCGTTTTACTATTAAATTGCATCTGGTGACACTATGCATGCTTCTTCTTCTTCAATGCAAGTGAACCCATGCCCTATGCAAGAAGTTCCAGTAACTAGTAGTGTAGGAGATAGAGCCTGGAAAAACTTTTTCTTTGATGCAGGTCAAAGGTCAAAGACTCAAAATGTAGGTCAGAGTGACCTACTTTTGATACATTACACACCGCCTCACAAAGGTGAACTCATACACCAAGTATGAAGTTTTAGTGACTAGTAGTGTAGGAGATAGAGCCTGGACAACCTTTTTCTTTGATGTAGGTCAAAGGTCAAAGTGTAGGTCAGAGTGACCTACTTATGATACATGACACACCGCCTCACCAAGGTGAACCCATACTTCAAGTATGAAGTTCCAGTGACAAGTAGTGCCGGACAAGATAGCGGAAGGATGGACAGACATGACGCAAAACTCTAGTCCCCCCCAGTTTCAGGTGGGGGACTTATAATTTTCTGGTCTACATAAGGGAACTTTGTTATACATGTAGTGAGAAAGTTCACAATACAGAAATGATCTAGTTTGCACAGACATCGCTGACTTTTAAATTCACAGACCTATATTTCTGTGGATATATTATTTCAAATATTCCTTTTTTACCGATTCCACTCCAGATTACCAGTAAAACATGATTTGCAGACATACTTTAGCTTTGAACTGTTACAATCATATATTCCACAACATATACTGCATCAGTTGTGATATTAACCATCTCTGACATTATAATCTCGCACGATCAAGACAAATTCTCTATTATTTCATGTACCAGGTAATATGATGCAACTGAAATTTATCACAGAAATAATACCTTCACCTGTATTAAGTGCATGTACAGCCTTAATGGTGAAAGGAAGCAACATCTTTGTTTTCTTGAGAAAAAAATAACTTACAATTAAATTAAGTACCACAACATTTGGTAAGAACTTAAAATGTCATAGAATACATCTTTATTACTAACAATGACATCCTAAAATCCATGTTTATATAATATATTATTTATGTGTAGTTCATCAACCTCTCATTTAATAAGAACAAAAACACACTTAACATTATGAATATCAGCTGCTCAGTGCCCAGATTCTTGAAATGAAATCCCTTTTACAATATATCAGTTTGCAGATAAATAATAAAAATCCTATTAATCTTAGAACTCTGGTGATAACAGCTGTTTACAATCACAATTAGGACATATCTAATGGGACTCATTCAGTACCAGTACATGTAAGTAAGGGGGCAGTACTTCTTTTTGGGTTCACTTAAAAACATACATCTTGGTCTATCTTCATACTTTTAAATAGACATTTAAATGATGAAACATGGAAAATTTGAAAGATTAACAGCAATATTAACAATTAGGTATGTAAGATGTGTCGGTGCAACTTGAATTAACAAATACATAATTAATATGCAGTTATATGCAAATGGTTATTTCTTGATCCACTCCAGCACCTGGGGTGTGTAGTAAGAGATGAGAATGTCTGCCCCAGCCCTCCTCATACTGGTGAGTACTTCCATCAAGGTCGTCTTTAGGTCAAAGGCTCCAGCTTTAGCACCGTGATACAGCATAGCATACTCCCCTGACACCTGGTATATGGCCAGGGGGTGGGAGGGGTACTGAAACACCATATTAGTTTATTACATTAATTTGTATGTTCAAAAATGATGGACTTATTTCCATTTCAGTCATAGAGAAAAATGAGAAAATGGTTATAAAATCAGCACACTTTCATCAGGCATCCATACCATTTAGTTCCCACTGACTGTCTGTGTAAGTTCTGATTTCTTAGTGTTATCAGTTTATAATAGAACTTTTGTTATATTTGTGTGTGGACATTTTTTAGCTTGACAAACAGCAGCTATATTTTGCTAGTGATTTATTTTTGCTACACACACTGCGTGTACATAATCCTTCAATGTTAAACGCCCATTAATTGTTTGTCGATAGAAATATCACAGAAAAATTCAGTACCTTGCCCTTGACCATCCTGACTACATCCAAGTAGGCTAGACCTGGCTTCACCATTAACATATCTGCTCCCTCGGCGACGTCACGATCCTAATGACAAGGAAAATTAGAAAATTTAATATTTTATAATGAAACACGAGTCAATGGTGCATACAGTAGCGTACAGTTAAGTGTACTGCAGATAATCGCTATCTTATCAGCAAGAGAAGACATCTTACCAATTTCTGCTGTACATGTAGTGTCTATACAGTCAACATGTTTACCATGAATACATTTACCGTCAATACATTAGCCATTGATACATGGACTGTCTATATACATTACTGCAGACATTTTTATGGTTGATACATCTACTGTCAAACCACTTACAGTCAATACAGAACTATGTTTACATATTCTCAATAATCTAATGTCAACAAATCTTCAACAAATTATCTAATTCACAGACCTCTTAACTTAGGAGATAGTTATCATGCAAGACCTACCTTAGAAATCACCTGTCAGGTGTCATTTCTTTTTCATAACAACCATTTTCAGAAATTGTTACTCATAAACTAAAGACATTATAAACCTATCACCATATGTGCTGGTAACAGATACATGCACCATTACTGTAGTGAGTCAGACAGACTACCATGTTAAACATTAGTTCCTTGCAATTAGTTAACTGTTCATACCACAGCTCTTTCGGCTAGACCAACAGATCCAGGAGGAAGCTGGTAACATTTCCTGTCTCCGTAAGATGGGGCAGACTTGGCAGCATCCCTACAGAACAAAACATAACCCCTATGTTTATTGCTGGCAATAAATATGTATTTTCAAATTATGTTTTAGATGATGCTATAGAAATGTCATATTGTGCAATTAGAGAACAGTCTCTACATAAGGCATTTGTCTAAGGAGTTATTTCCCTTCTACTATATATGTATGAGTAAGACTAATTTGTTGGTTGTGTTTTGTCAACAAGGTTTTTAGACATGCAGAATAAAAGAAAATTTGAAACAAAAGACAAGACATTGATAAGGGTGACAAGAATTTACACAAATGTACATGTAACACGTAGAGAACTTAGCTAAAGAAGAAGCGAAAGGAATGTAAACAGATTTTTGAAAATCAGATCCCATCCCATATTATATATCAAAGTAATAATACATGTAAATGAAGCAGAAAAATGCAGTCTATGATTGACCACTTAAATATAGTTCTGACCTGAATGGTCCGTAGAAGGACGATGCAAACTTAGCACTGTAGCTGAGAACGGACACTCGGTTACCCAGGCCTTCCTTTTGGAGGAGATCTTTTATAGCACCAACTCTCCCGTCCATCATATCTGACGGGGCGATAATCTGGCATCCTTTTAAACCAAACATCAATAATTATAAAATGTACATCGGTACGATTTTTGTCAAAATGTTTTTTTCGAATAATACTTCTATTTTACAATGAAGACAGTCTATTCTAAAGATCAACTGATCATCCTCACCAAGATAGCAAACATGGGAACGATATTATCTCAGACGTACATTGTATAGACATACTTTAGTATTAATAGTTTCTGTTTATACATCAAATTTAATGCTCAGTCATACACATTACACATTCTATATCTATCACCGTTAAATTGGACTTGCCCTACATAGATGTAATATATGATTTTCTATGTCAAAAAGTGCCCACCTGCTTTGGCATAGGCTAATGATATCTCAGCCAATCTCTTAATGCTGGCCTCATTGTCCAGACTTCCATCTTCCCTCATCACACCTGAAAAGATAACAGTTACATTAACAACCAGTCACATTGACTGTGTCTACAGATCTATAATGATATATGTTTTTATAAAGTTATACTGGGTATAATATTCTTAATGTTACAGTCCAAAATCACCTGTATAATGACCCCAATGTTTCAACCCAAAATCACCTGTTTTATGCTCCCAATATTACAGCCCAAAATCACCTGTATAATGTTCGTCATGTTACAGCCCAAAATCACAAGCTGTATAATATTCCCAACGTTACAGCCCAAAATCACCAGCTGTATAATGTTCTTCATGTAACAGCCCAAAATCACCTATATAATGTTTGTCACGTTACAGCCCAAAATCACCTGTATAATGTTCCCAATGTTACAGCCCAAAATCACCTGTATAATGTTACAGCCCAAAATCACCAGCTGTATAATATTCCCAATGTTACAGCCCAAAATCACCAGCTGTATAATGTTTGTCATGTAACAGCCCAAAATCACCAGCTGTATAATATTCCCAACGTTACAGCCCAAAATCACCAGCTGTATAATGTTCGTCATGTAACAGCCCAAAATCACCTATATAATGTTCGTCACGTTACAGCCCAAAATCACCTGTATAATATTCCCAATGTTACAGCCCAAAATCACCTGTATAATGTTCCCAATGTTACAGCCCAAAATCACCTGTATAATGTTCCCAATGTTACAGCCCAAAATCACCTGTATAATGTTCCTCTCGTTACAACCGAAAATCACCTGTATAATGTTCGTCATGTTACAGCCCAAAATCACCTGTATAATGAATGTTCCCAATGTTACAGCCCAAAATCACCTGTATAATGTTCCTCTCGTTACAACCCAAAATCACCTGTATAATGTTCGTCATGTTACAACCCAAAATCACCTGTATAATGTTCCCATTGTTACAGCTTTGGCACAGTGATCTAGTATCTTCTTGTCCTGCTTTACTTTATCTTTGTGCAGAATCCGTTTCATAATAAAACTATTTACAACATTAATGCTTTTCTTATGGTATATACATATATATGATATTTTGGTAGTCAGATGAGGAGGTCCTGACAAGTGATAAGGTTATTTGTTGATGCTACAATCACTGTAACTTATCCCCAAACAAAGATATGTCCTCTTATTGCTGTAGAACAATAAATACTGACCACAGTGACCGTGACATGTGTAGGGACACAGACAGACATCACAGGCTATGAGGAGGTCAAACGTCCTATTATTACTGTATAACAATGTATACTGACCACAGTGACATGTGTAGGGACACAGACAGATATCACAGGCTATGAGGAGGTCATACCTCCTATTATTACTGTATAACAGTGTATACTGACCACAGTGACCGTGACATGTGTAGGGACACAGACAGACATCACAGGCTATGAGGAGGTCATACGTCCTATTATTACTGTATAACAGTGTATACTGACCACAGTGACCGTGACATGTGTAGGGACACAGACAGACATCACAGGCTATGAGGAGGTCATACGTCCTATTATTACTGTATAACAGTGTATACTGACCACAGTGACCGTGACATGTGTAGGGACACAGACAGACATCACAGGCTATGAGGAGGTCATACGTCCTATTATTACTGTATAACAGTGTATACTGACCACAGTGACCGTGACATGTGTAGGGACACAGACAGACATCACAGGCTATGAGGAGGTCATACGTCCTATTATTACTGTATAACAGTGTATACTGACCACAGTGACCGTGACATGTGTAGGGACACAGACAGACATCACAGGCTATGAGGAGGTCATACGTCCTATTATTACTGTATAACAGTGTATACTGACCACAGTGACCGTGACATGTGTAGGGACACAGACAGACATCACAGGCTATGAGGAGGTCATACGTCCTATTATTACTGTATAACAGTGTATACTGACCACAGTGACCGTGACATGTGTAGGGACACAGACAGACATCACAGGCTATGAGGAGGTCATACGTCCTATTATTACTGTATAACAGTGTATACTGACCACAGTGACCGTGACATGTGTAGGGACACAGACAGACATCACAGGCTATGAGGAGGTCATACGTCCTATTATTACTGTATAACAGTGTATACTGACCACAGTGACCGTGACATGTGTAGGGACACAGACAGACATCACAGGCTATGAGGAGGTCATACGTCCTATTATTACTGTATAACAGTGTATACTGACCACAGTGACCGTGACATGTGTAGGGACACAGACAGACATCACAGGCTATGAGGAGGTCATACGTCCTATTATTACTGTATAACAGTGTATACTGACCACAGTGACCGTGACATGTGTAGGGACACAGACAGACATCACAGGCTATGAGGAGGTCATACGTCCTATTATTACTGTATAACAGTGTATACTGACCACAGTGACCGTGACATGTGTAGGGACACAGACAGACATCACAGGCTATGAGGAGGTCATACGTCCTATTATTACTGTATAACAGTGTATACTGACCACAGTGACCGTGACATGTGTAGGGACACAGACAGACATCACAGGCTATGAGGAGGTCATACGTCCTATTATTACTGTATAACAGTGTATACTGACCACAGTGACCGTGACATGTGTAGGGACACAGACAGACATCACAGGCTATGAGGAGGTCATACGTCCTATTATTACTGTATAACAGTGTATACTGACCACAGTGACCGTGACATGTGTAGGGACACAGACAGACATCACAGGCTATGAGGAGGTCATACGTCCTATTATTACTGTATAACAGTGTATACTGACCACAGTGACCGTGACATGTGTAGGGACACAGACAGACATCACAGGCTATGAGGAGGTCATACGTCCTATTATTACTGTATAACAGTGTATACTGACCACAGTGACCGTGACATGTGTAGGGACACAGACAGACATCACAGGCTATGAGGAGGTCATACGTCCTATTATTACTGTATAACAGTGTATACTGACCACAGTGACCGTGACATGTGTAGGGACACAGACAGACATCACAGGCTATGAGGAGGTCATACGTCCTATTATTACTGTATAACAGTGTATACTGACCACAGTGACCGTGACATGTGTAGGGACACAGACAGACATCACAGGCTATGAGGAGGTCATACGTCCTATTATTACTGTATAACAGTGTATACTGACCACAGTGACCGTGACATGTGTAGGGACACAGACAGACATCACAGGCTATGAGGAGGTCATACGTCCTATTATTACTGTATAACAGTGTATACTGACCACAGTGACCGTGACATGTGTAGGGACACAGACAGACATCACAGGCTATGAGGAGGTCATACGTCCTATTATTACTGTATAACAGTGTATACTGACCACAGTGACCGTGACATGTGTAGGGACACAGACAGACATCACAGGCTATGAGGAGGTCATACGTCCTATTATTACTGTATAACAGTGTATACTGACCACAGTGACCGTGACATGTGTAGGGACACAGACAGACATCACAGGCTATGAGGAGGTCATACGTCCTATTATTACTGTATAACAGTGTATACTGACCACAGTGACCGTGACATGTGTAGGGACACAGACAGACATCACAGGCTATGAGGAGGTCATACGTCCTATTATTACTGTATAACAGTGTATACTGACCACAGTGACCGTGACATGTGTAGGGACACAGACAGACATCACAGGCTATGAGGAGGTCATACGTCCTATTATTACTGTATAACAGTGTATACTGACCACAGTGACCGTGACATGTGTAGGGACACAGACAGACATCACAGGCTATGAGGAGGTCATACGTCCTATTATTACTGTATAACAGTGTATACTGACCACAGTGACCGTGACATGTGTAGGGACACAGACAGACATCACAGGCTATGAGGAGGTCATACGTCCTATTATTACTGTATAACAGTGTATACTGACCACAGTGACCGTGACATGTGTAGGGACACAGACAGACATCACAGGCTATGAGGAGGTCATACGTCCTATTATTACTGTATAACAGTGTATACTGACCACAGTGACCGTGACATGTGTAGGGACACAGACAGACATCACAGGCTATGAGGAGGTCATACGTCCTATTATTACTGTATAACAGTGTATACTGACCACAGTGACCGTGACATGTGTAGGGACACAGACAGACATCACAGGCTATGAGGAGGTCATACGTCCTATTATTACTGTATAACAGTGTATACTGACCACAGTGACCGTGACATGTGTAGGGACACAGACAGACATCACAGGCTATGAGGAGGTCATACGTCCTATTATTACTGTATAACAGTGTATACTGACCACAGTGACCGTGACATGTGTAGGGACACAGACAGACATCACAGGCTATGAGGAGGTCATACGTCCTATTATTACTGTATAACAGTGTATACTGACCACAGTGACCGTGACATGTGTAGGGACACAGACAGACATCACAGGCTATGAGGAGGTCATACGTCCTATTATTACTGTATAACAGTGTATACTGACCACAGTGACCGTGACATGTGTAGGGACACAGACAGACATCACAGGCTATGAGGAGGTCATACGTCCTATTATTACTGTATAACAGTGTATACTGACCACAGTGACCGTGACATGTGTAGGGACACAGACAGACATCACAGGCTATGAGGAGGTCATACGTCCTATTATTACTGTATAACAGTGTATACTGACCACAGTGACCGTGACATGTGTAGGGACACAGACAGACATCACAGGCTATGAGGAGGTCATACGTCCTATTATTACTGTATAACAGTGTATACTGACCACAGTGACCGTGACATGTGTAGGGACACAGACAGACATCACAGGCTATGAGGAGGTCATACGTCCTATTATTACTGTATAACAGTGTATACTGACCACAGTGACCGTGACATGTGTAGGGACACAGACAGACATCACAGGCTATGAGGAGGTCATACGTCCTATTATTACTGTATAACAGTGTATACTGACCACAGTGACCGTGACATGTGTAGGGACACAGACAGACATCACAGGCTATGAGGAGGTCATACGTCCTATTATTACTGTATAACAGTGTATACTGACCACAGTGACCGTGACATGTGTAGGGACACAGACAGACATCACAGGCTATGAGGAGGTCATACGTCCTATTATTACTGTATAACAGTGTATACTGACCACAGTGACCGTGACATGTGTAGGGACACAGACAGACATCACAGGCTATGAGGAGGTCATACGTCCTATTATTACTGTATAACAGTGTATACTGACCACAGTGACCGTGACATGTGTAGGGACACAGACAGACATCACAGGCTATGAGGAGGTCATACGTCCTATTATTACTGTATAACAGTGTATACTGACCACAGTGACCGTGACATGTGTAGGGACACAGACAGACATCACAGGCTATGAGGAGGTCATACGTCCTATTATTACTGTATAACAGTGTATACTGACCACAGTGACCGTGACATGTGTAGGGACACAGACAGACATCACAGGCTATGAGGAGGTCATACGTCCTATTATTACTGTATAACAGTGTATACTGACCACAGTGACCGTGACATGTGTAGGGACACAGACAGACATCACAGGCTATGAGGAGGTCATACGTCCTATTATTACTGTATAACAGTGTATACTGACCACAGTGACCGTGACATGTGTAGGGACACAGACAGACATCACAGGCTATGAGGAGGTCATACGTCCTATTATTACTGTATAACAGTGTATACTGACCACAGTGACCGTGACATGTGTAGGGACACAGACAGACATCACAGGCTATGAGGAGGTCATACGTCCTATTATTACTGTATAACAGTGTATACTGACCACAGTGACCGTGACATGTGTAGGGACACAGACAGACATCACAGGCTATGAGGAGGTCATACGTCCTATTATTACTGTATAACAGTGTATACTGACCACAGTGACCGTGACATGTGTAGGGACACAGACAGACATCACAGGCTATGAGGAGGTCATACGTCCTATTATTACTGTATAACAGTGTATACTGACCACAGTGACCGTGACATGTGTAGGGACACAGACAGACATCACAGGCTATGAGGAGGTCATACGTCCTATTATTACTGTATAACAGTGTATACTGACCACAGTGACCGTGACATGTGTAGGGACACAGACAGACATCACAGGCTATGAGGAGGTCATACGTCCTATTATTACTGTATAACAGTGTATACTGACCACAGTGACCGTGACATGTGTAGGGACACAGACAGACATCACAGGCTATGAGGAGGTCATACGTCCTATTATTACTGTATAACAGTGTATACTGACCACAGTGACCGTGACATGTGTAGGGACACAGACAGACATCACAGGCTATGAGGAGGTCATACGTCCTATTATTACTGTATAACAGTGTATACTGACCACAGTGACCGTGACATGTGTAGGGACACAGACAGACATCACAGGCTATGAGGAGGTCATACGTCCTATTATTACTGTATAACAGTGTATACTGACCACAGTGACCGTGACATGTGTAGGGACACAGACAGACATCACAGGCTATGAGGAGGTCATACGTCCTATTATTACTGTATAACAGTGTATACTGACCACAGTGACCGTGACATGTGTAGGGACACAGACAGACATCACAGGCTATGAGGAGGTCATACGTCCTATTATTACTGTATAACAGTGTATACTGACCACAGTGACCGTGACATGTGTAGGGACACAGACAGACATCACAGGCTATGAGGAGGTCATACGTCCTATTATTACTGTATAACAGTGTATACTGACCACAGTGACCGTGACATGTGTAGGGACACAGACAGACATCACAGGCTATGAGGAGGTCATACGTCCTATTATTACTGTATAACAGTGTATACTGACCACAGTGACCGTGACATGTGTAGGGACACAGACAGACATCACAGGCTATGAGGAGGTCATACGTCCTATTATTACTGTATAACAGTGTATACTGACCACAGTGACCGTGACATGTGTAGGGACACAGACAGACATCACAGGCTATGAGGAGGTCATACGTCCTATTATTACTGTATAACAGTGTATACTGACCACAGTGACCGTGACATGTGTAGGGACACAGACAGACATCACAGGCTATGAGGAGGTCATACGTCCTATTATTACTGTATAACAGTGTATACTGACCACAGTGACCGTGACATGTGTAGGGACACAGACAGACATCACAGGCTATGAGGAGGTCATACGTCCTATTATTACTGTATAACAGTGTATACTGACCACAGTGACCGTGACATGTGTAGGGACACAGACAGACATCACAGGCTATGAGGAGGTCATACGTCCTATTATTACTGTATAACAGTGTATACTGACCACAGTGACCGTGACATGTGTAGGGACACAGACAGACATCACAGGCTATGAGGAGGTCATACGTCCTATTATTACTGTATAACAGTGTATACTGACCACAGTGACCGTGACATGTGTAGGGACACAGACAGACATCACAGGCTATGAGGAGGTCATACGTCCTATTATTACTGTATAACAGTGTATACTGACCACAGTGACCGTGACATGTGTAGGGACACAGACAGACATCACAGGCTATGAGGAGGTCATACGTCCTATTATTACTGTATAACAGTGTATACTGACCACAGTGACCGTGACATGTGTAGGGACACAGACAGACATCACAGGCTATGAGGAGGTCATACGTCCTATTATTACTGTATAACAGTGTATACTGACCACAGTGACCGTGACATGTGTAGGGACACAGACAGACATCACAGGCTATGAGGAGGTCATACGTCCTATTATTACTGTATAACAGTGTATACTGACCACAGTGACCGTGACATGTGTAGGGACACAGACAGACATCACAGGCTATGAGGAGGTCATACGTCCTATTATTACTGTATAACAGTGTATACTGACCACAGTGACCGTGACATGTGTAGGGACACAGACAGACATCACAGGCTATGAGGAGGTCATACGTCCTATTATTACTGTATAACAGTGTATACTGACCACAGTGACCGTGACATGTGTAGGGACACAGACAGACATCACAGGCTATGAGGAGGTCATACGTCCTATTATTACTGTATAACAGTGTATACTGACCACAGTGACCGTGACATGTGTAGGGACACAGACAGACATCACAGGCTATGAGGAGGTCATACGTCCTATTATTACTGTATAACAGTGTATACTGACCACAGTGACCGTGACATGTGTAGGGACACAGACAGACATCACAGGCTATGAGGAGGTCAAACGTTCTATTATTACTGTATAACCATGTATACTGACCACAGTGACCGTGACATGTGTAGGGACACAGACAGACATCACAGGCTATGAGGAGGTCAGGGAACCACTTCCTCAGCATGCGGGTGGCCACTATAGCAGGAGTACTTTGGGAGTCAGCAGCGGTACCAATGTTGTCCTGTAACAGTTAGAATAAGAAATGATAAAAAGATATTTCAATTTTTTCAAAGAATTAATTTTCTGCTACTGTAGGAATGCCTCCATCACTCTCTTTAATACTTCAACTTTTAAATATTCAAACATCAATATTTGTTTCAAATATAACAATTTCACATAGATGAATGTCACCTAAACACAAACAATAGAAGTGTTAATAATGACCTGGAGATCTTGGTGACTGCATCTTCTTCATTGTTATATATAGTAAGGTAGCAACACAATTCCTCCGTGAATCAAGAGTCATTATCTACTGACCTAGATCTGAATCTAATATTTTAAAAGGTATACTACATTGACATTTCTATCACTAAAATGTACTTTTGTATTTTCAGCTAAAAGTTGTTTGCATTTCGCATATTTTGTTTAACATGCCTTTTTAATTTTGCTAGGTACACCAAATATCAGGACAGTCTTCAGTCCATTCTTGACCATGGGTTCCAGTGCTTCCTGGACACGGTTGATACCATACCGCGCTTGACCTGGCATACTGGCGATCTCCTGGACATCATCATCTTCATCTCTACATGTACCAATAAGTCAAAAACAAAATAAACAAGATTACGCTTCTCACCACTCAATCACAGCTTACCACTTCATTGAAGAACCTGTGTTCAGTAAGCCCTAACATAGATACACATGTACACTAGTGATCAATATACAGATTGAGAATTTTTCGTTAAAAGATCATAACTAATTTATCTGTGCTTTAATTTGACAGATTATGATAATCCTGTAAAAACCTTTCTACTACTATGCTTTGGACAAGTAAAATGAGTAATCTGACCTTTGACCTTCACTTATGACCTTGTCCTTGGAGCTGAGTATAGGGGTCTAGAAGATGCTACACAGAACATGAATGACTGAAAACATGTCTGACAAAAAAAGTATGAACTTTGACCTCAATTTGTAGCCTTTCTTGTCCACCAGAAGTTCAGGAAAGCACTGCATAAATAATATCATAATTAAAGAACAAAATAAAATGCACTAGAATTATTATTAATGTTAACCTATTTTGGGCAGATGCATGAATAACTTTACGAACTTGCTTTCAAACAGTATCTGGAAATTTCCTACAATTCCTTGTCAAATTATGTATGACAGCAGCAAAATCTAAAATTGAAGAGACTTGAATGTTTGAAACTGGTAGTGGTAAAGGTGTGCAGTCATTAGGAGATTGGGAACAGTATGATTGATGTGTCATAGCCCATAGGATAGAGGACTTTTTGTTGACAATAATTACTTAATCATAAAATGTTTTTTCCCTTTTAATGGTCATTATCACTTCTAACTTAACTGTTTGAAATAAAGATTGACTTCATAAATCAATGACCTCGGGCAGATGTAGCTCTACAAATACTGCCTTACAGAAAGTACATACGTACAATAATGTATGGTAACTTCATAATTGTTTGAAATAAATATTGACTTTATAAATCAATGACCTCAGGCAGCTATAACTACTGACACTGCCTCACAGAAAGTACATACATGTACTTCAATGTATATCAAACAAAGTAGCAACACAGTAGCAACATGATTAAGTTAAAGTACTCAGGTGTTCACATCTAACAAAATAAATACCTAAGTACATCTTTTTGTTTTGAATTCATTTCTTAATAATGGGCATCACACTCATAATAAGCATATATATATACAAGCATCAATAATACTCTAATTTTATTTAGAAGGGCATTGTCAACTACTATTTGGAAAGTAGTTTGGATTTAATAACAAAATGCATTCCTTGATCCTGAGCTAGAAATGAAATTATATTCATATAATAAACCAAAACTTATCAAAAGGATTGATCACAAAGTTTTTTTAACTGAAATCTGTCACTGAAACTAGTATACAGAACTTTCATTTATGTTTTATAACTTAGGCAGATGGGTGCATATTTTTATTATCAAACAGCAGCAGCTTGGTTTATAAACGGTTGAAAGATCAGTTACATCTGTATATGCTTCAATGGTATATAAATACTTTTCTAAATCTGTCAACAGCAAGGTCATAAAACCATATGAAATGAGAGTTCAATATTCAGTTCTGTAGGTGTAAGATATATACATGTGGACCAAACTGATTGGTTGGTCACAGAACATCCGGGAAGTCTCATGTTTGGTGTTCTTGTTAACATCTCAGGTGTGACATTTGAACATACAGAAACCAAGCATTCCCCTGAAACTTATCATGCTGGTACATGAAATGACACAGGTGATCGTGAGGATTTCTCGGGCCTGTGACTTTGTCGTGGGAAGATCTATGTGTCATAAGTATGATGTTACCTAAGGCTACACGACTAAGCAAATATTTATATTAAGACATCACTATCAGTCCTATATCATCACGCCTGGAGACATTCACTTCAAGGCTTTATAACATTTTTCAGTACTCTTTTAAGGTTTTGTTTAGTTTCAAGATGATGAGATACAAAGCAAATTTATATGACTTAGGTTAATAGTTAGCTCATAAATATTTATCTGTGCATCTTCAGTTTAAACATTTAACATATATATATGTATTGAGTACAATTTACTAAAGGTCCATAAAAATTAATTTCATACATGTATGACCTTAATCAATATAATACCTATATAAACTTATTACACTTAGAGTAATCATCCATAGTAGGATTTATATACTGTAAATGTTATTGTTCTTAATTGACAGATAGATACTATGGCCTGGGATATAGCTCATACTTTTGTTACCAGGCTATAGTAATTATTATGTCCCGGATTGTTGTCCCCATCATATTAATGAACCAATGATTGGCAATAAACATGAGATCCCAAAGGGAACTAATTGGGCACCCAACATTGTAAGATCTCCATTAGTTCTATGCATGTTTGATCTTTTCTCTTCATTTTTCTTCATTTTTCTTTATTGACAAGACATATCAGGTGAGGGGTGAGCAAAGCCAGTATTTGACCTTGACCCCTCGATCAGTTTGTAATTAATCGAGCCATCACTGCCGACTCAAGTGAAGATTCAAAATGCCTAAAGATAGGTGTTTGGAACATTTTTACCAGGTATTCGATGAATATTGATGCAATTCCTTCATCATCAGCCTATGGGAACCAGTTTGCTTTTCGGAAACTTTAATGTACTATCAACTATAACTATACAAAATATATACTATATTTGCTTTCATAAGCACCCCTCCCACTATACATGTAAGCATCCCTCCCACTATAAGCACTCCTCCCACTATAAGTACCCCTCCCACTGTAAGCACCCTCCCACTATAAGTGCCCCTCCAACTATAAGTACCCCTCCCACTATAAGTACCCCTCCCACTTTAAGTACCCCTCCTACTGTAAACACCCCTCCCACTACAAATGCATAAGTGCCCCTCCAACTATAAACACCCCTCCCACTGTAAGTACCCCTCCCACTTTAAGCACCCCTCCCACTATAAGTACCCCTCCCACTATAAGCACCCCTCCCACTGTAAGCACCCCTCACACTATAAACACCCCTCCCACTGTAAGCACCCCTCCCACTATAAGTACCCCACCACTGTAAGTACCCCTCCCACTATAAGTACCCCACCCACTATAATTACCCCTCCCACTATAGGTACCCCTCCCACTATAAGTACCCCACTCACTATAAGTACCCCACCCACTATAAACACCCCTCCCACTATAAGTACCCCACCACTGTAAGTACCCCATCCCACTATAAACACCCCTCCCACTGTAAGCACCCATCCCACTATAAGTACCCCTCCCACTATAAGTACCCCACCCACTATAATTACCCCTCCCACTATAAGCACCACTTCAACTGTAAGCACCCCTCCCACTATAAGTACCCCACCACTGTAAGTACCCCATCCCACTATAAACACCCCTCCCACTGTAAGCACCCATCCCACTATAAGGTCCCCTCCCACTATAAGTACCCCACCCACTGTAAGCACCCCTCCCACTATAATCACCCCTCCCACTGTAAGCACCCCTCCCACTATAAGTACCCCTCCCACTATAAGTACCCCCCCACTATAAACACCCCTCCCACTGTAACCACTGATCCCACTATAAGTACCCCTGCCACTATAAGTACCCCACCCACTGTAAGTACCCCTCCCACTATAAGCACCCCTCCCACTATAAGCACCACTTCAACTATAAGCACCCCTCACACTATAAACACCCCTCCCACTATAAGCACCCCTCCCACTATAATCACCCCTCCCACTGTAAACACCCCTCCTACTGTAAGCACCCCTCCCACTATAATCACCCCTCCCACTGTAAGCACCCATCCCATATTTTGTCAATTTAAAAATGGCATAAATTTGGTAATGACGAAAAAAAATCTGTTTCATATTTTGTGGAATATGTAACTGGGTCATATTGTTTCATAGTCTGCCCTGTCCCTTTATTTCTCTGCTATCTATTCAAGTACATGTAGACTTCATGGTTCCAATGAGATCTGTTTGTTTATCTCAGTGCCCATATCTGGCCATACTGTTCTTATACATAACTTACAAGACTTTTAGCTAGAAAATCAATTTATATATTATATATTTATACAGAGTTTGACAATGAAGTACAACACAACTATGAAGTAGTGAAAACACACAAAATGCAAAACTTACAAGTTACAATGTACCTCAGTATGATTGGAAGTAAAGAATTATTTAACCTTACAAACTGGGAAAACAGTTAACCAAACTGACATACCTGGTAAAATTAATTTCCAAAGCAAGAATTTACCATACTGTTTTACCTGCCTTACTTTGTAATGAGAGCTTAATTGTGTGATATATCTAAGAGAGTTTGCACCCCAAAACAACAATATACTATCAGAGGACTTGTTTGTAAAACATTTCAAACTGACACAAAACAGAAAATACTTCAGTGTCGACACACTTATAACTTTGATAACATCATCAACTCCCTTTATATAATTTATAATGAACTGTACATCATAATATAATAACCTAGACATTACAGTAATCATCTGAAGATGACTACAAGGTTTAAAATCATTTGTGATGACGAACCGTCTTTGTTTTGGTTTTTTATATATATTACCTAACTGAATACATGCCTAGTTCTGATTCTGATTTAATATGTAACATGACTAATCAAGAGTTGCATTGGGTTTTTTATATGCAATTTTCTGATAAAAAGTGTGTTATTAATTATCAATCATGTAGATAGGTGAACAGATCTATAATGTCAGGGCTAAGTGTCAAATGTACACGTCTGCTAATATGTGACAAAAATGATAATTTTATGACAAATTCTATCATGTCTGATCAGTATTTTACCTGAGGGCAGGTTGACACTGTCAGTAGACGTCATTACTAGACTACCAGTGACGTAGATAAGAAGGAAATAGGACAGAGATTTAACTTTAATACACAGTCAGACACAAGAAATTGAAAAACATCAGCTCTGACAGTAAACAAAATATTGAAAGTGTATCACAACATCCCACAATAATACATGTGTTATATGTTAGCTGTACAGTGAAGAACACAAATCTCAACTTTGTACCAGTTTGTTCTATAGGTCTGTCTGGCATTGATTCTTAGTTTCAATAAGAATGGTAATATTGAGTGTTCCATTCAACAGTAAATTCACACTTTTTGACCCCTATAAACTATAGTAATGCTGGGATATTAATCAAATAACACCTTTAGATAACAATTGGCAAACGTTTTTTACTTCGAAATATAATTGCAATTCAGATGCAAAATCTTCATATTATGTTATTACACAAGAATTACTTATAAGCAGTAATGTAAATACTAAATAGTATCTGCTTCATTTGGTTATTTTAATGTATATATTAGGTATTGTATAAAGAAAAACACTAGTAAATTCCTGTTGAGATCTCTATAACTTCTGCTCTGTAGTTCATTTTGATTGGTCAACACAAAAGGTCAGTTTTTATTGACAGCTTTTTCGGCCAATCAGGTAGCAAGTTGCAAAACAATCGCAAAGTTCTGGTCCAGACTATTCATTTTGAGCTCATCTTTGATTCCGTTTTATTAATAATGATAATTATCATACATACATGTATTTATGTAAATGGATATGGGTATACGCTATGTTACTTAACTATGCATATATTTAATAAATCTGTCTGATAGAACTGAAATTAAAGCTGAATCGAAGCAATAGCCTTCTGTTTCCATTTTGGGGAATTTAATGCCCTGTCAACATATGGGTATGAAGCTTTAAATTAAAGGGGCTGGTCGGGGAAAAAATGTCATATTTGCTAAAATGGCATACACATGTTTAAAATAACTTCTTATGAAATATACCGATTCAAATTTTGCTGAAATTCACTCCCTAAGAGTAAAAATTATAATTATATTAAAGAAATCCTAAATCGTCACCTGACAGTCTAAAACTCTCAATTGACCCAGATTAGTGATGTGACAACCATGTGACATATATAAATAGATCTGTGCTAAACTTACGCGGGGCTTCCCCGAGATTTCAGTGGTCAAAACTGGACATTGCAAGCAGAACTTGACCATCATATTGCGTGGTATAACTTTTGGAAGGCCAAAGAACGCATTTAGACCCATTTATTTTGCATTTTTTTCCCCGACCAGCCACTTTAAGACTATTATATATTTTCACTTACATACCAGATGCAGATGCCCATGACGAATCCAAACGATATTTCCGTACCTAAGAATGACCGGTTTGGTACTTTTTTGTAAAGAAAAAAATACTGGAGAATCCTGAAATATTGAACAGCAACTCTCTGGACACACACAGCATTCAGATACAAAGTTGAAAATAAAGTCTTAGTGTCAAAAATCTTATAAAATATTGAAAGGAACTTTGGGAAGAACCAAAAGTACAGAAACATCATAATACCAAAACGAATGAGTAATCTTAATTAAACAGGGAACTACATCCACTCCATTACTTCCACGGCTATAATCAATCACTAAGTTTCTTATGCCGAAATTTTAAAGTGAATTCTCAGAGCATAACAGCCCATTAAGCTTATAAAACACTGGTATGTCCCAAACTAGATTACAGTGCCTCACAGTTTAGGACCCTCACAACATTTGTCAAATTAACCATTTGAATAAAGTGCTAGGTTGAGCAGCGGCCACTGGGCAGCTCCGTCACGTGCACTGATGACATGATAAACATTTTACACTGGCCACCCTTATATCTTTGCTGTCTCCAGTTCAGACTTGTCATGCTGTACACATCCAGAACATCTTATCGTTGACCCCAGCTCAAGCCATCATCACCCATATGCCTTCAAACACATCGGAATGTCCCGAGATTACTATAAAAACTCATTCTATCCTACTGTCCTAGGACTATAACACAATACTGTCAATAGAATCTACTCCCTCAGCCTTTTGTTTCTGTTGACACTGTTTATGCTTCCAATGCCGCCATCTCAGTGTCTTACCTTTCACAACTCTAAATCACCTATGTTTTAATCTTTTTATCATGTAAAAATAACTAAATATGTGTGTTTTCAGTTTTGTAATCAACGCCTATCGACAAATCATCAGAATTGATGCCACGCTATAGAGTTCCGTCAATAGTTAGACGTGTCCATTCATTCAAGTCCAGTAGTGTGTGTACACTTTGTAAACGTGAAACTGCACACTCGAGCTCATACACTGTCAAAACATCCGACATCACACTGCTGTGCTGATGTAACGCCGGTCACGTTTTGACCTACAAAATGTTTCTCATATTTCTGTCATTACCGGAGCAGAAAAAGAAAGAAATATTATATCTTACGTGACAAAGATGGGGTAGATGAGATTCTCCGCACAAATACTCGTATTTGCCGTCTGCCATGAACGTAAAACTGGATGGTGATATCCGCTGTGAAGAACTGTGTGGCTTGCCATGTTGTTTTACAAAATAACCTTTCAACGTCAACTTTGCACCATGACCTTTCGGAGATCCCACGTGCTTCCGGTAATTATATTTAAGGCGGTAAAATATGAAATTGTCCATGTGTTGACTTGGAGGTTCGGCGTTGGTGTCATGACGCTGTTGTAACTAAAGTACATTCTGAGTTTGTACTTGTAGAGAAGGCACACAACTACTAATAATAGTGATCTCGGTTGGTTAAACTAGACTAAACGGAAACTGCTTGTTGCGCCCTCCTGTCCCCCTGCCCTGGACTGGAGTAAGTTAGCCCACCTGACATTATTTCGAGCCCCACAACGGAATTGTTCAAATCAGCCCTCTACCGTCACCTTTCAAACGCAAATTAGACCATCTCGTATCTTTTAAAAACAATCTCTTTCCATGTTTCAATCCTCTTCTGACATTTTATCTTCAAATTGTTGACTGAAGTTGGTCAGTACCATATAGAAGTAGAAGTAGAAGCCCCTAAATGATTCCACAACGAACATGGGCTAGCATCACCACTGCATTACTAGCTAGCCGATGTTCGTTGTCGATTAATGCAGTGGCGAAGCTAGCTAGCCCATGTTCGTTGTGGATTACAGTGGCGACGCCAGCTAGCCCATCATTGTTCGTAGTGGATTACAGTGGCGAAGCTAGCTAGCCCAAAATTAAAAAAAAAACAGCAGGAAGTATGGGCAAAAGACAAAAACAACTTTGGTAACTGTATGAACACATTTAACGAAGACAATACCTTCAAAACCAACACTGAAAAGAAAATGTTCAACTTCAACAAGGAAGTAAAAACTGTGTCTGAAAATATAACGGATTTCCTAGCGATATCGAATAGAATAGACAACAATCAACTGAATGGTGTGTCAAGTTGTAAAAAATCTGTCAAACTGGTAACTCAAAAGATGTAATCGTTAAAAGGAAGAAATACAAAGGATGGACGACGTATTGCAGGAAACAAACAATCGCTTGCAGAACATTCAACAACAAATAACTAAATTGGCAAAAGGTCAAGAGAGTAAACAGAAAGTCAAACCTACAAATAGTATTGGAAACAAACCTAATGACTATGAAAGATCTGACCTTATAGAAGGAGAAAGTAACACAATTTCAATAGAGACGTCTAACTTCTTTTCTCCACTGATCAGGTGTGATGATCTAGGGTCCCAGGTTGAGTCGGAGAATCAGTTTCGCGTTGACGCTCGCGCAACACTATGTGGTACATTTCAGCGACCTGTGTCTCGAGATACAGAATCAAGTCAACGGGTTACGGATATAACAAATGTCGCTCAACCCGCTCACCAACTCAGTCGGAATCCGATCGCAGTACCAACTGATGTTTGCCTAAGCGAGGTTAACCATACGTCAGATAAAACTGGAAGTGAAAGTCCTAACCCCAATCCTCGTCAAATCAAGGTTTACTGTCCCTCATCAGTGTGTCATCCTATTAGAAGTCGGAACAAAAACTGAGCGACAGATTTGTCGGTTTTAAGCCTGTAAAACAAAAACGTGTAAAAAGGTACTATATACATGGAATAAATAAATACACAGCATCGGAAAGCGCTATGAGAGACTTCTTAGAAGACAACGGTGTTAAAATAACATTCCTACGTTACTTCGAGAAACGGAACAAGAACACGGCATCTGCACAGTTGAATGTTCTAGACGCAGATTCGTCCGTTCTTGACAATCCTGACTTTTGGCCCCCGGGTATATACTCGAGGCCATGGACGCCACGACAGGTGTTTTGGAATGATCATAATGACCAAAAGTGACATAGTCAATGCCATGTGCTGGAGTTGTGAAGGGGTAATGGCCGGGATGCCTTATCTCCTTAACTGTCTCAACACTTACGATATAGATATATGTGGATTGTCAGAACATTGGGTGAGAGAATACCAATTGTCGTTTTTCAATAGTTTTAATCATTCTGGTTATAAATGTATTGTAAAACCTGTTCATGAAGTAGACCCCTACCGCTACAAATGTTGTATAAGAGGTGGTGTGTGCTTGTTATATAAGTCGCATCTTAATGTACAAGAAATCATTATAGACAGTCCTAGAATTGTCGGGCTTGAATTACAGTCACCTAGTGGAGAATATACATATTGGTTCTCAGTATATATGCCTGCTTCTTCACGGCCTATTGAGGTCTTTCAAGAACATATTGACATTTTAGAATCTTTATATGATGTGTACTCGGAGAAAGGTAAAGTGTTTATAATAGGTGACCTTAACGTAAAAATACGAGGCAACCGCTATCAGTTTACAGAAAACAATCGTTCTCGGTCATTCCAACAATTTCTAGATAGAACTAACATGATTTCGTTAAATGTTCAGTCTGAATGCATAGGTCCTGTATGCACATTTTACCCCGCAACGGATAACTCAACTGCAATTGATCATATACTAATTGAGTCAAAGTCCACAGATCTTGCCTTGTACTGTAAAGTTTTAGACGACAATGCAAATGTTTCAGAACACTGTCCTATTGTTTGTTCAGTACGTATACCCAAATCTTTTACGGATAGTACATCACGTTGTAACAGATATAAGTGGAAAAAAGCGTTGAATGACGGTTCAATATGTAATTATAAATGTTATGTAAAACGTTTACTGGATTGTATCACAGTACCTAATGAAAATCCATCCTTCCAAGATATAGATTGTTACTATAGCGACATATGTTCGGCCCTGCTTGAAGCAGCAGATAAGTGTATACCCAAAAATGTATATAGAAATTATCAAAAACCTTACTGGGATGAAAGTCTAACAACGCTCCATAATGAAATGTTACGGAAGAGATATGTGTGGATACGATCCGGAAAGCGTAGACGATATTGTCGAACATTTTCTGAATATAAAAACTGTAAAAAAGAATTTCGACGTCAACTCAGGAAATCATCTGAATCCTATATAAAAAGTCAATTTGCTGAAATTGATAGATCAGGCGAACTTGACCAGAACCTTTTCTGGCAGCTTTTCAAAAGGAACAAATCAGCCTCGAAGGTGAAACAAACTGAGCTGAAATATGAAGGGAAACTTTTCAGAGATCTCCATGATATTATAAAAGGTTGGTCTCTACACTTTAGAAATATATTTAAAAAAACACGATGCTAAAGAATTTGACTGTCATTTTCGCGACGAGATTGAAAACAGAATCAAAATGTTAAAATCTAGTATTCATTCTGATGAAGACTTGTTTTTATATGATATTTTTACTTCTAGTGAAATCAATCTAATTGGCAAAAAACCTGAAGTCAAATAAAGCAGGCGGACATGAAGGTCTGGTATATGAACATATTAAATATACAGGAAACTCTGTAATTTACCATATATACAGAATTTATTCAATCTTGTTGTTAAACAAGAATATATTCCTAGAAACTGGAAACAGGGAATTATAGTAACTCTATATAAAGGTCACGGAAAGCCGAAATATGATCCTAACAGTTATAGGGGAATAACCCTCTTGCCAGTATTTTTTAAAATGTTTGAAATGGCTATTGCAAAGGGAATAAACAATATAATAGAGTCTTTTTAATATAAGGCAAATGTAAAAAAAAAAAAATCAAAAAGAAATTCGAACATAGGCATGGTATTATCAGGGAGTACACATCCCTGGTATTATTAATATTACTATATTCTTTGTTTTTTGTTTTTGTTTACTGGCTACATAAACCAGTATTGTATCACTGATATTTAATAATATGTATATACGTTTGTGAACTGGTATGAACGTCACGATTGTTGTCATTTTGTAAAAAATGTATTATTCATGTACTATCATTGTATTATGCTCTCCAATTTGGAGGAAATAAAGATGATATGTTCGTAGTGGACTATTACAGTGGCGAAGCTAGCTAGCCCATGTTCGTAGTGGATTAATGCAGTGGCGAAGTTCAACTTGAAGTTGTTTATTCACTCAGAACCCTAACATTGGGAGTTAGTTCCTCCATTCAGACCCCTACGATACCCCTATATGGACTAGGTTTTCCCGTGACCCTCGGAAACCCCCGCCTTGGAGTTAGTGAACTTATAATGTTCTACCTTCTTGTCTTTGAGTTATGATTCCAGGGCCGTTTTTAAAGCGAGGTCGTTTTAACATGGTTATGTAGTTCTATTGTTCGCCAATACATAACAAAGTACATACAAGTAGGGCCGTTTCTACTAGAACCGTTTAAACTAGGACCGTTGCTTAACCGGCTGATATCGGCTGTTGGTACATAAACATGTGAAAATAAAGAGATTTTGTGTTAAGTTGTTTATAATCTTTATGTACCATGGTACACAAAGACTTGAATTTTCATATCATTGTGTACCATATGAAAGTGTACCGTGGTACAAAAAGATATGAAAATTCAAATATTTTTGTCAGGCTCTTGTCGGCCATCGTAGTATGTTTGTCCCCACCAAAAGAGTGCTCAGACTGGACTATATGTACAGTACAGTTTGATAAGAAAGCACGTACACAATGTGTTAAGAGAGTATTTTGGTGCTTGGAACACAAGTCGCGTCCGATATATATTTAACTGAATACGTCTTATGACAAGCCCACACGAAACAATAACATCTTGGACCTTACCATCACCAACCATCCAAGCTTAGTCCCTCGTATTGAAGTTATGCCTTGCATTTCAGATCATGACATTGTGTTTGTCGAATTCCTACCTTCTACTTTAAAGCAAAAACAAATACCAAGGCAAATTCCATTATACGAAAAAAGCTACCTGGGAATCTATGAAGAATGAGTTGTACTGATTATTTTTTTATCGTAAGCTTCAATTTTCTAACAAGGAGCATATTTCTGATACAAATACCATCTGGTGTGACTTCAAGTCATTTCTGAACTCTTTGGTGAATACACATATACCACACAAAATATCAAAACCAAAAGAAAGCCAACCCTGGATATCTCATGAAATTAAACATTTGATTAGTAAACGCAACAGATTATTTAGAAAATCAAGAAAGTCTGGTGATAAAGATCTAACAAAGAATTATA